ACCCTTAGGGGGACTTGCAGGACGCAGGGCAGACTCCCAGAGCCCTGCCTCCAGTATACGGCCAAGTTCAAGAACAAAGGGCAGCTGGGGTGGAAGCAGGCTCGAAAGCTGTGGGTCATGCAATGGCATAAACTGGCTGAAAACTGCAGCCATTCCCAAAGAGGCCAATTCATCATGTGGGGTCAGGGTCCAGCTTCTCGACCACACAGGGGAGTGAAGGGGTGAATGAGGCCACCAGAGGGCGAGGCCAAGGAGGATGCTGGGAATTTGCTCCTAGAGACAAACACTGCATCCTGGAGGTGACGGTGGCCCTCCCCCGGCCGACCAGTCCTGAATTGGGGGTTGGGAGTACAGGACCTGCCTTGTTCACCTCACGGAGAAGCCAGCAGCCATGGCCTGTCAGACTAGCCCCAGGAGATGGCTTCTAAGCCTGCATGACTTTCTCCAATGGAAACAACTGGATGAGGGATGGCTCCTCTTGTCTTGAAATCTGAACACCCAAGAACAACCTTGGCAAAACACAAACAGCAGCCAATGGAATGGGGCATTTGAAGCCCAGTCCCAGCTGCCCTAACCTGGAAGGGCGTGGACTTGGGTGAGACCTGGATATGCCTTTTCCAGCCACTGAGGGGCTCTGGACCTAGACACACTTTTCCTTGCTCTGGGCTTCGGGCCTCACACCCTCAAACCCCAAGCCTTCCAGACCCTCCTCCTGGGGGAGGTGCCTGTGAGTTCAAGGCCAATCCAAGGGAGAAGAGAGGGAGCAACACAGATGCTTGCAGACTAGGCGGCCACTTGCTCAGAAGTTACTACAGAGGAGCATCCTCAGCCCCACAGGTTTCAGAACAAACTTCAGAACCCACAGCTACACCCGATTCTGACAGTGCAGGACCAAAGGGTCCAGCTTTGAGACATGGGGAGGATCAGAGACCACTTCAGGCCTCGGAGAGAAGGTGCTCAGGGATGGGCAGGTAGGAGGTCCAGGGAGGCATGAGGGCCACTGGGCCAAATTACATTTAACAAGTGCCTCCCAGAATTCCCCCAGCCACAGATTTGCCTCCAAAACATTCCAAACACCTGGAGAGACCAGACTGGTCCTCAGACACAGGCTGCTGGGGTCCAAGGCCTTGCCTTCCTCAGAGTAATCACAGCTGGCCCTTGAGTGGTACAGGTTTGACCTGCACAGGTCCACTTACTCACGGGCTCTTTTCAATAAATTGTACAGTTCTGTAAACATATTTTCTCTTCCTTATGATTTTCTTAATAACACTTTCTTTTCTCTAGCTTACTTTATTGTAAGGGTAGAGTATATAATACATTTAACATACAGAATGTGTGTTCATCTGCTACTTATGCTACTGGGATGACTTATGGTCAACAGAAGGCCATTAGTGGTTACGTTAGGGGAGTCAGAAGTCATATGCAGGTTTTTGACTCAGCACTCCAGCCCCCTCTCTGATTAAGGGTCAAACTGTGGTTGTCACATACTCAGCATTCTACATAACCAGGGTCACCCAGAGCATGGAAGAGGCAGAAGTCACTTTCACTTCCCCCTCTCTCTGGAGGACAAACACCATCTCTCTGATTCATGTCGTTGGCTTCGAGCACCGGGCTTATCTCAGTTATAGGGAAACCTTATGCTGGAGGTGCGTGGCTGCCAACATGTGTGTGAGAGGATTTTCCTGGCACAGCAGGGAGCTCTGGTAAAACCAGGATGTCAGATTCAGAAAGAACAAAGTTGAACTTTTTGGGGTTTTTTAATCCTCACCTGAGGATTTTGTTTCCATTGATTTCCAGAGAGCATGGAAGGGAGGGAGAAGGGGGGGAAGAGAGATAGAGAGATACAGAGAAAGAGATATGATAGATAGATAGATAGATAGATAGATAGATAGATAGATAGATAGATAGAGAGAAACATCAACATGAGAGACACATCATCTGGTTGCCTCCTACACTGCCGGGAAACCTGAAACCAAGGTACGTGCCCTTGACCAGGAATCAAACCCATGACCCTTCCGCCCAAAGGCTGGCCTCTAACCACTGAGTCAATCCAGCCAGGGTGACAAAGCTGTGCTTTAAGTAACCAGCCTAGCAGCCTGGGAAAGGGGAAATCATGGCTTACAGCATCCAGATTACAACATACCCAACCCAGAACTTCCCGGACCCCTCCGTTGAGAACGAAGCCTCCAGGGCACCAGGAGACGTCCAACTCGAGATACTGTTGAGAAAGTTTCTATCTGTGTGGGGACACGTCAGCGCCCTAAGTGAAAAGCTGCAGCACAGCAGGTTAACCTGCGGCCTCCCAGCCCCAGGGCAGCTGCGTTTGTACAAAGGGGTGGAAGGAATGTTTGAGGACACCAGCAAACACACGTCCAGCAAAGAAATCCCCTCCCTCTCCACCGGCTGACTCACGAGGCTGGCCAGCGTGAAGCTTCCTCAGAACCAGTTCCCTGTTAGGGACTTAGACCCACATGAGGTCCTGACCAGAGCCCTGTGAGCAGACTTGGACCTAAGGACCAAACCCCCTAATGAGAGAGAGCCCAGAATGAGGCCTCTTTGTAGGGCAACAATAACAGGTGAAATACTTAGGTGTCGTAAATGAGGAATGTTGCATCCCTGGGCAATCCCCTGTTCCAAGACACTGGCCAGGGGTGCTCAGAGCAGATGGGCAAGGAAATTAAAGATGAGCTAGGGCCAAAACCGGTTTGGCTCAGTGGATAGAGCGTGGGCCTGCGGACTCAAGGGTCCCAGGTTCTATTCCGATCAAGGGCATGTACCTTGGTTGCAGGCACATCCCCAGTAGGGGATGTGCAAGAGGCAGCTGATCGATGATTCTCTTTCATTGGTGTTTCTCACTCTCTATTCCTCTCTCTTCCTCTCTATAAATAATCAATAAAATATATTTTAAAAAATAAAAGATGAACAAGGGCCTCGAGACATGAAATAATTTCATAGGATGCTTTTTTCCCTCCGCAGCATTCAAAGACAAGCTCCTGGGTCTGTTTCCCAGCTGTGTCACCAAAAAGATGCACTTGACAGAAAAATTAATACAACTTCTGCCCGTGCAATGGCATAGTAAACCCAATCAATGAAAAGCAACCAGCCAAATGGATCCATTTTCATTTTCAACAGGCTACAGTTGAGAAATTGAAATTTGAGGCTTTGAGATCATGAGCTGTAAGGAGGCACCGTAACTGAGGCGTTCCAGTCACACGCTGAGGCTGTGCCTGCCTCCCATCCTCAGGGCAGGCACACTCACCTGGACAAGGTGGCACAGGACAGAGGAGGCAGCCAGAGGAGCCCAGAGGCAGAGATCCTGGGCACTCAGAAAATTTCCCAAACACCCCTCCTCCCCCAAAGAAACCAGTCAAAAAAGATTGTTCTCACTAGCTTTCTGCCTCATTTTCCTTTCTTTTCTTTTCTTTTTTTTTAATATACATTTTTATTGATTTCAGAGAGGAAGGGAGAGGGAGAGATAGAAACATCAATGATGAGGATCAGCTGCCTCCTGCACACCCCTTACTGGGAATTGAGCCTGCAACCCAGGCTTGTGCCCTGAGCATAGGACTGTGACCTCCTGGTTCAAAGATTAGTGCTCAATCACTGAGCCACACCAGCCAGGCTCACTTTGCTTTCTGTTATGAGCTGATGCTTGCGTTCTCCCAGAGTCCATATGCTGAAGCCCTCACCCCCAGTGTGATGGTATTTGGAGGCAGGCCTTCAGGAGATGATGAGGGTAGGGCCCTGTGATAGCAAGAGTGCCCTTATAAGAAAAACCAGAGCTTGCCCTCTGTGCCATGTGAGGACACCTTGAGGAGAAGGCCACGGCTGGCAGAAAGCTTTCCCCTGGAGCAGAAAGAGCTGGCACTTTTTTTTTTTTTTTAAATAGGTCAGTATTTACTTTATTCTGGCATGAGGAAGGGTATTCCCAGTATATCACTGAAGGCAAAATCTGTGAAAAAGAAGGGCTGGCACTTTGATGTTGGACTCCCAGCCTCCAGAACTGTGAGAAATAACAGTTTGCTGTTTGGTCCACCCAGTCTGTATCTTGTTACAACAGCCTGAGCTAGCTGAGACATTTCTTTCCCAACCAGAGGTCCCCATGTCTGGCCTACAAGTTCTCAGTAACATTTCTAAGAAAACAAAACCTACTGTCTCACAGCTTCCCCTCCTTAGCATCTTCTAATAACGCAACAGTGTACCCACCAACCAGCAGAAATGGCGTTTTTAGTTTTACTAAATCAAAAGATTTAGTAACTGCCCGATGACCCAAGCAGACCTTAGCAGAAAGAGAGCTTTCCGTTTTGCTTTTGTTTTACTAGAATCCATGTCATCAAGACGGGCATATGGGCTATCTAAATATCTTGGCCCTTGTAAGGATTCAGTGCAGCTTTTACAGAGAGAAGTGCTTTAAGCTCACAGCATCTCCCCAGAGCCCCCAGCAGGGAGTCCACTAGGGGGCACAAAGCAAAGCCTAAAGCAGCACAGTCCCCACACCAACATTCTTCTCACGATTCTTTTTAATAGTATGTGTCATTTCACGCTGCTACAACCAATATAAAAACAGTGATTCCTGGTTTTGTATAAATTAACATGTGGAGAATCTTGGTGATGCATCAGGTACAAGTTCCAGATGATAGGACCGAAGATACGTCACAGTGAAGAGAGACGTCTGAGGACAACAAGCATGACAGCTGTACAGGTGCTCAGACAGGTGATCACCCAACCAAGCCACCCTCCATCCAGGCCAAGGCATCAGGAAAGGATCAGCCCGGGGACAACAGTCTCCAGGAACGCTGATCCTGCAGCTCCCTACCACCCCACCAACACGGGAGGCAGAGGCGATGATTCCCATGGACCTTCTCTTCATAACGAGCTGTCATTTCCACTCGGGTCTGCTCCTCCGTGTGCAAAAGGAATGCCTTGAGTTTCTATGCTCCTGACCACGGCTCGCTGGGTCCCGCTCCTTGCCAATGGTGTAAACTGGGGGCCTCTGAGAGTCAGGCGCAGCACCCGGATTTGGTCTGTTCGGGCGGCTTATAACGGGAGATGTCTACAGTCTGCGGCGGCCCCTGCGCCCTCTGCCGCACGATCACGGGCACCACCATGTCGAACAGGGTCTCAAACAGCAGGTCCACGTTGTGCCCTGTCTTGGCGCTGGTCTCGAAGCACATCTGCTCAGCGGCCGGCATGTCCTTCTCATCCAGCATCTTGTACTTCAGGATCTTCTTATAAAGAGCCATCGCCTCCTCCTGCCGCACCTGCTTGGGCCCCCTGGACGACACACCGCCGCCCCCTTCCGTCTGGCCGCCCTCCGAGGCCCCCTCCTCGCTGAGGTCCACCTTGTTCCCCACGATGGCGAAGAGGCAGTCGGCGCTGGCGGTCTCCGTCAGGCCCAGGAACCGCTCCTCCAGCTCCACCAGGCTCTGCGGGTAGTTCACGTCGTAGGTGAGGATGACGGCGGCCGCCCCCCGGCAGTACATGGAGCCGAGGCCGTGGAACTGCTCCCGCCCTGGCAGTGGGGGAAGGAACAGAAAGATGTGGTTATCTCTCCTCTCAGACATACCAACCACCAACCGCAACACACAGGAACCTTCAGGAGGGACCATGGAATGGTCACCCCAAGTGTAGGTGTGGCTGGAGCTGAGCAGGGCGGAGACACTGTAGTGCAGAGAGCAGTGACCAGCCCGGGGCCACGGGATCTAAGTGCGGGGCCCTGTCCCTCTGGGGGACTGCAGGCCCATCCCCACCGCAAGCAATGCCTGCACAGCCTCGGCACGCACTGTGGTTAACCTCCGAGACCAGGAAGATACCCATGCCCTCTTTTCTTTTCTTTTTTTTTTAATTTTTGTGAGTTTATTTGAGCCAAACTGTCGACATACGCCAGGAAGCAGAACCTCAACGAACTGAGATAATGTTTCCCTTATATTCTTTTTAATTAAAAATTGCAGGGCTTGCTCCTGGTTTTGCGTGTTAAAAGGAAATGTTTAAATAAAATGCTCCCCCCCCCCTCCCCCCCGTCATCGGTGTCATCCTTGATGCTGGATGACACCGGTGCCACATCTCAGCATCGCCGTTGCTCTGGCATGGCACCAGGCCAGCTGCCTTCACACAGGTGCGCACAGCCACCCGGCCCCGAGTCCTGCTCTGCCTCCCTGACCTTTGCTCCTGTCCCGCTGCCTGGATGCGGCCACTCGTCAATCCCTTGACCACTAGTCACTTCCCAGGGGGTTTCTGACCCCCTTCCAGGTTACCTTTACATCTCTTGTCAGTCCCATCACCCCCCCCATACACACACACACACACACACACACACACACACACACACACACTTCCCGCCCCTCACACTCCCTCTGAGCTCTGGCTCCTCCACTCAGCACCATCGCAGGCCCACACCTTGTTCTGCAGTTAATATTTATCTCTCTACCAGGAGGGAGGACTGGACCATGTGGCTTTACTTGCCCCTGTGTGTTTGGTGCTAATAAATGTGCTGAGTTAGTGAAGCCACAAATTTACCACCCCAGTGGTCTGATTTTCAAAATGGTAGAAGCCTCATTCATGCCAGAAGCTCCATTTACACCCTGCGCTCAGCATTTTGGCATCTTGACTCCCTACCTTTACTCTGAACCGCAGACCGAGGAGAAGAGCGGGGTGGGGTGTGTTAAACCCACAAAGAACTGGCATTTCGTCATACCGGAATACTTTTATTTCCCCGTGTCTAATCATCAGAAAGCCTACATCAACGTTACAACTAAACTACAGAACAACCATCATTCAGATGCGTCAATAATCCAACTAATGACAGCCCTACAGCTAAGGATGTAAAGAAGGAGCCACATGGAGGCGGGTTGTTTTCAGATGCAGGGACAGAACAGCGGCGGAGTGCAGGCCTGGGGGCAGTGCCAGGGACAGGCTGCTCAACCACCTGTGAGTCAGTCTTCTCTTCTGTGAAATGGGACAGATGACAGCACCTTGCAGAGTTGTGGCGATTAAATACACATACAATATATGTTAAACAACAACAACAAAAAAAACGTTAGAAGACCTATGAAAGATGCAGATCCCAAGTGAGCGGCAAGCCCAGTGACCCCTTTCTTGGGTTTGGTCTCCTCAGTGTCGGTGTCCCCAGTTTTCAGACAGCCCCTTCTTTTCCCCTTCTCGCGCTCACCGCGTGGAGAGGTGGTACACTGACTCCAGGAAGCACGATTCCTCCATTTGAAACAAGGCCTCCTCCCAAAGCCGGCCCAGGCCCTGGGATTAATCAGCCCCCCTTCTGCCGCTGGATTCCACACCCTGGATGGCGGGGCGAAACCCCACACTAGACCCACGCTCTCCAGGCACCCACGCTCCCCAGAGGAGCTTAGCAGGGGCCTTCTGAATCCACAGGGTCCCTTGGAGAGCTAACTATATTTATTTCTTTTTAAAAAATATATATTTTATTTATTTTTTAAGAGAGAAAGAGAGAGGGATAGAGAGTTAGACACACCGATGAGAGAGAAACGTCTACCCTATCAGCTGCCTCCTGCACACCCCCTACTGGAGATGTGCCCACAACCAAGGTACAGGCCCTTGACCGGAATCGAACCTGGAACCTTTCAGTCTGCAGGCCGAAGCTCTATCCACTGAGCCAAACCAGTTTTGGCTAACTATACTTCTAGAGTGTCTCTAACAGCTTCTCTCCCCGGCTGGAATCGGAACCCGTTTCTGAGGAAGTTCTGAACTCCGCCTGCAGTTTTTCCGTTTGGGCTACCGAGCCCGGCTGCTGACTCCTGGGGGAACAGAACCCAGAGGTCCACGGCCCTGACAGGGGACAGAGTGCCATCTTCGTCCTCAACATCCTCTGAGACGGAGCATTTCCTTCTCTTATACACGCCGGCAACACACCGGAAATGATATCAAGGAACCATCCCTGTGGTTTTGCCACCTGTACAATCACAGAGGCTTTCGATTTCGCATCACAGCTGCCACTGTGCCGTCAAGTGTTTATGCAGATCGCCACTTACTTGAACATCGTGACAGCTAGCGGACCTGCCCTTTATCAAGGAAGCCTGCTTTCCCGATAAAACTTTGTATTCCAGGGCACGCACTTAAAGAGAGCATTCAGAGGAAGATCGTAAGCTCATGCAACTCGGGCACAAAAGGATCCTTGACACACAAAAATGAAGACCCCTTGGTTTCTGGGTCTTTGGAACACGGACTAAAGGCATGATTCTTACACACATGTATTTGTATGAGCTTAATGTCCTTTTCCAATTAACAACTGTTTTCTGCCAAATGGACAAGGTCCAGCCCAGTCATTCTGACCCAGGCCAGAAGACACTGCCTCATTAGGGGGCAGGCTGGTGGTTTTGCCTGTGGGCTGCTGACTTCTGTCTTCCTGTGCCTGCGCTGGAGAGAACCACCTGCTCAGGAAGACACCCACGTCCTGGGAGAAGGGCCCAGTGTGGACCTACATCTGCCCGCTGTCCTCTCCTTCGCCCAGAGCCAGGGCTCCCTGTCTCTCCCAAAAAGCCCGAGTGCATCCTCAAACCACCTGATGGCGAAGGCGGGATGGAGGGAACAGGCCCGGGCAGGTTGTTTTGCAGGAGCTGGAGGGTAGCGTTCTGCCCTGCAGGATCCTGAAGGTGAAAGTGAATGGCCAGTTTACAGCCACCAGGCCCTCCATCCAAGCTGCTGGGAGGGGCCGGCCTGCTGACAAGCAGCATGTCCTCTGGAATTCGTCACCCGCACATCAAAATTCCTTCCTTTGGCTGCATCGCAGGCCAGCCCTAAGCCTGGTCATTTCATTATACGTCCCGTGTCAAATTTCACTGCAGGCCAGCAGACAGAAACTGAACAGCCTTCACCCATCTCCCCGTGGACCCCCTCAGGGAGAGGATGATCAAGTGCTAGTTACAAAGAAATAAAAGAAATGCCGCCCCCATCATCACCATGGAGCCGGGATTTCCTCTCAGGCCCTGATCTGAGACAGAGCGACCCAGGAACCCTGAGGTTTCCGACCGCTCCCAGTGTTATCGGCACCTACCCACTGGATCTCACAAGAGAGATCAAGGGAGGGAAAGTGCCATTCTAGTTACCCGGGGAGGAATTTTCCAACTCGGTGACATAGCTCCCTGAGGACAAAAAGGCCACTGTGCTCATGCCTGTGCCTAAAATAGCTTTCCTTTCCAGATAAAAATGTCTGATTTGCCTTGAGAAATACTAAAGGAGGAAGTCATGATAAACCCCAAAGAGAAACCACCATAACTACTGGCAAAGGAAGCAGGAACCGGAGTCCCATAAGCTGGCCCGAAAAGAGAGTAAGTAAAAGTTGCTGTTGAAATCACATCACCTGTCGCCCACCCACTCACCAGGACAGAAGAAACGGAGGCACCGGAAGGGGCCCACAGATGATGCCGGTGATGCCCGGAGCCAGGACGGTCCCAGGTACCAGGGAGTCTGTGGCCGAACTACCCACTAAAGAGCCCAACTCCAGAGATGGACGGCCTGCCTTCCAATCCCCCCTGTGTGACCTTGGACAGGTCACGAACTCTCTGTGCCTCCGTTTCTCCTCGCCAGAGGGTGGTTGTGAAACAGATTTCATGTAGACAGGTCAACTGCCTAGAACTGAGCCCAGCAGGGGTTATGCCCTACACACGTTTGTTTAAATTGTGTGTCAGATTTCGTGCAAACCTAAGGAGAAACCTTGCCATCCCAGGACCACCGTGGCGACGTGTGTCCTCATCGGCACATTTACAAACTGCCTCCTAGGACCTGTTGGTCACTTTACAGCCGACCGAACTCCTGCCGCTTCCTTATTTTTACAAGGCTTACTTCCCAAGGATGCTCTTCTCCCAATTTCGGGGGCACTTGATCGTGTGGCCGCCGTACACGGTGCCAGGAGAACGGGGAAACGGGCCAGGCCAGCGCAGGCCCAGGAAGACAGAAGTCAGCAGCGGCAATAACCCCAATCAACTGCTGGACAAGTGAGCACAAAGTACCCATCCGCTCGCCGTCTCTGCTATTCTGTCCCCACCCTCTGGACAAAGGACAACCAGCTTTTCACCCTGAGCATCGTAACATTTTTGTTGAAAGGATTTTAAATAACTGAATGGGTGGTACAGCCATCAGAAAGCATGTTACAACACCGGCTGCATGTTCTAAACATGGGGGGAGTACTTTTTAAAAATACTGATGCCTGGTCCCCCTCAGTCCACCCCAGAGCACATGAATCAGGGTCTGACAAGAGCGTGGGTACCAGAATCATTTTTAAAAAATATATATTTTATTTACTTTTTACAGAGAGGAAGGGAGAGGGATAGAGAGCTAGAAATATCAGCTGCCTCCTGCACATGCACACACACACACACACACACACACACACACACATACACACAGACACACCCACTGGGGAGGTGCCTGTAATCAAGGTACATGCCCTTGACCAGAATGGAACCTGGGACCTTTCAGTCCACAGGCCAACGCTCTATCCACTGAGCCAAACCGGTTCCGGAGTCATTTTTAAATCTCTCC